TTGTCTCTTATCTACAGTTAAGTAGCGATCCGCTTGCCGTATGCAATACCACAAAGTAAAACTAAATGCAAGCGCATCATTTCTCTTTTGTGTGATTTGTTTTCCATTGCACAGTGTTTGCGCAGTGCAACAGACATTGCAAAGAAATGGTTTGGTGCCGTTAGTTTTGTTGTTGTTGTTTTTTTTGTTTCGATATAAAATTTGAAAAGTGTGAAACAGTTAGTACTTTAGCTTCATCTAAGTTGTCCACCGCAGTTAGAACAGTTTCGTTTGCTATTCTGATGACAGAAGTGCTTATTATTCGAATTATTAGCGTTTGAATGGTAAATTTGATGTATCTGTCCGTTAGATTTTTTTTTTTTAATTCAAATTCGGTGTGAAACGGTTTAAGAAAAAAATGTTTCCAATTTTGTGTATTTCGATTTCGTTACTGCCGAAATAGTCATGTTTCTCAAACCGATTCAGAACGATGAACTGAACTGAGACACTGAGTTCAAAGACCTTAAGCAAAATCTAAGCGTTTGCTCTGGTTTCATAGTAATCTGATGTGAAACAACACGGGCGAAAAATCTTAGGCTAAAACCATCTTCTCTCTTTTTTTCATTTCAAGTGTTATGATGTTGTTGATTTCTATATCTTTTGCGCACCTAAGCAACCGCGGAAGCGTCTTCGCAGACGTCAGTCGTAGGCTGCTCCATCAATACGCGAGAGAGTTTTGTACTGAAAGTATTCTAGTTTTGATTAGAAGCCAAACATAAGCGTGATAGACACTCCATTTTTATCTTTTGTTCGAAAAATTCAAATATATTTTCATCGTTTTTATCATTGCTATTTTAATACAATGAAATATTCTTCTTCGGGCCAACCACCGTTTTTCAGTTACCAATTAATTTTTAATTCGTATTCGTTTAAAAAAAAACACGTTTATATTTTAGGTATTTGTGTCCGGCGCGCGCTAGTTAGCTATACTCGCGAAAATTTGCGCAATACACGGAAACCGTCTCTCTTTTTTCCTCTCTCTCTCTCTCCAACGATACACTTGCCTCAATGTTTTCAACGTACGTTTGTTCGATTGAGCTGCTGCACACCGCTCACTCTCTTTCTATTGTTGATCCAATACAGAGAGGCCAAAGCGATGTGCCCATGAAGGCGAGCTATCTCAAGTTCGCGGCCAAATCAATTTTCAAAGCTTCTATTCCGTACGCTGCGTCTATGCATTTATTCGCTAACCGTTCAAGCATTTGAGAATGAACGGGCGCACGCACATAAAGCACAGACAGAGAGAATATATATATATATATATATATATGTGAGTGTGTGTATGAGAGAGTGTAGGAAGCAATGTTTGCGCTGTCATATGGAGGCAATTGTTGCTCAGTGAGGCATCGCACAACAGAATTATTTCGTAGCATACCGAAGCAGAGCAAATGAGATAGAAACATGTTGATTTCTCGCATAGAAGTAAAATTCAGCCATAAATGTATGTTATAGGGCGATGACCGTTTGGTTCGACTAAATCTGTGCAAAGCTTGGAACAAGTTTGAATAGCTCTCTGATCGCTGTGTATTATCATTTGTTTGTGTGAAACGTTCAGATTTAAAGTTAGATCAAATGGTTTTTTTAGCTTTGAATGACGTGCGCCCATGAAAATGGAAAGACAATTCAAAAATAGAAAGGTCAAGCAACAGAAGAAATTGTTGAACTCATCTGGAGTTATTTGCTCTTAACTGTTTTTTTTTTTTTAATATAAGAACGCCATCGTTCTGGATGCTTATAAAAAAACATCGAACGTTATTTCTGACAACTGTTTATCTAACTCATTGACAACTGCATTGGAGTCATCTGCGCAATGTATGCTCTAGACAAAAGACATAAATAAACGACGAACTTTACTTGATAGCTTAAACATTTGTTATCGGCTATTCAAATAAAATAAAATCGTCAACACCTCAAAATGGTATTGATTTCGATTTGAATACGAAAAAATTGTTGATTGTTTGCTTAATGGATGATGCAGTTTTCAATTTACGATAAATTGTACTGGGTTAGGGTCAATAGTAGTAGAAGAAGAAGAAGTGGAGTAATAAGAGAAAATTCAACAATTTTATAGTGAACAATTAATATGTTCTTCTGGGGAATTGGTCATTAAATCTATCATATTTTGCAGCACCATACATAACAGAAGAAAATCATAAAAAAATGTAAATAAGCCGTACGGTCTAAACAAAACGTATATGTTAATTTTCGGCAGTGAGAGGGTCAATAAACTGCTTGTGTAGGTTTAAATCATAGCAAACATTAGTATTTCATTGTGTTTGGATATTAGCTTAAAATAGCCAAAATAAATTTACATACATCAAACAGCGTCACCATACATACACAACATACGCATAGTATAGCATATTTGGAGAAGAAGCGGGCATCGCAGAACTACCTTATACACATACATTTCTGGCTTTCATAATCGTTCAACTCTCTTTTGGTATATCAAAGAGTTATGTGTACTATTATGTTGTTGTTGTTTTTTTTTTCGTCATCGTCGCTTTGTTTTCTTCTTGTCATTCATTGTTTTTGACTGCTGATTGAGCAAAGAATGCTTTTTCCAGTTTGGGAGTTCATTGGCTTTTGAATTAGAAATATGTCGCGAGTCATGGAATAGGAAATCGAAACGAAAGTAGAATATAGAACTTCTGAACATAATTTCGCTTCTATTCACACTTTTTGAATAATTTTCGAAAACGGTTTTTTTGCGTTTCATTAATTTAGTGGCCAAATGCTCATTTGGCCTGTTTCTACTTCAAAGAACTTACAGTGAATGCTAATAATTTTCGTAAATAAAAGCGAACGCCAGAGTAAAGATAAAACTGAAATTAATTTATACTGAATTATTCAATGTAAAAAAATTTTTTCGCTTCGACTAAAAAAAGGAAAAAAAAAGACCAACAACTTGAATGACAATTTTATCATTTATTTTTGATCGAAAATAAATCATTATTAACTACACAAAAACGAAATATTATGAAAAAAACTTGAACATAAACTTGAAATATCCGGCCTATTTGATTCCTTATTTCCTGAATTACAATTGCGAACTAACTGTATGAACTATTGAAAACGAGGAGCTGCAATCGATATTCAGATGAAATTCCCGTTAGATACAAGCACTATTCTCTGCCTACCAACAGCCAACTGTAAATGTGAGTCGAAAACCCAATCGAACGAACCATACACAGAGAAATGAAAATGAATGGAAAATAAGTTCAATGAGATCTACTTTTGTTACAAACAAAATAGGCAAATAACCGCAAAAATTCTAAGTCAAGAAAAAAGATAATGTGATGAAATAGATCATGAATCAATAAGAAAAATATATAACAGTGCATTAACTGTATCAAAGCAGAAAGCTTACCAAAAAATACAATCAGCATCTGCGGTCGTTGAAAATGCGATCCCTTTGGAAATATTTTTTTACTTGCGCAATAATACAATGAATGGCATTGAATTAATATGGGATTCAATGTCCGGATTTATTGTCACCTTAAACAAAAATTCAATTAAAATAGAACATAAACGAAGTGTGCAAATGTTGGAGTTTTCAGGCGCATTGTCGAGAGTAAAAAAAGATCATCACAATAAAAAAAAATTACAAAAATCGTATGGCATATAGTATAATTCTCCGATGGCAGTGATTATTACGTACAACCAAAATAATACGTGTTTAAGTTTGTAATCGTTTTTATTTTTACCAATATGCAATCTCGCAAATACGTTGTAAAAAAATGTTAACAGGTAAGCAACGAAGAAAGACAACAAAACAGAATCTAGAGAGAAAGAGAGAATAGTAGTAATAATAATAATAACGATAATAACACAGTCGTTTACTTCTTGTTCCTCGGTCTGTTTACACAAATCACATTCTCACACCAGTGTTAGCAAACAGTCCGGTAAATGTGTGAGCAGCAACATTTCTATGTATTCACATGTTTGTATTGATATTGCACTAGACAAATCGACAAAAAAAAGAATAACGTATGGAATATAATGGGAGAAAGAGATCGACAAAGAAATCAACAACAAAATAACACACCATCGACAGACAGATAGAAATGAGCATACAGGTAGCAATAGAACGTATACTGCGGAACATACAAATAAATTGATAAAAGTAATGATCATTCACGGATCGTTCTAGTGACTGAACTGGATGGTAGCTGAGAGAGAGACTGCGAAGGGGAATCTTTCTAGTATGTGTAAAAGAACCCGTACCATGAGCACATACACATCAAGAGTAAAATAGAATCAAAGAAAGTAACTTGCACACAGTCATACACATTTCCATGACACGCGCACACACATATACACACATCCACTGTATGACGATGCGGAAGACAGAAAAGATCGTAACCAAATCAAGTCGAGGAGGAAGAACGTATAGCTTCGGCAATGGATGTGTTTTGTTCATTGTGCAGACGAATTGATGCGTGCATGTGTTAGTGATCGTGGATGCATGGGCTCTTACACATATTGGTTTTAATTTGTAGAGGGGAATACACCTTGACCGTCATCGTCTTGTGTTTGCATTACTTTTGCTCTGATATCCAACAGTAAGCGAACAAGCGATTGTATACCAAATAATCTAATGTCGCTTCGATGGTAATTCAGTTTTCCGAAAGACAACAACAGAAACAGACGTATGATTTATTGCGAGTTTGTTTCGTCGTTAAGAACATTTCAAACGTTCTTTTGGTTGTGAACACTCTATTTTATTTTAGTTCGATGTACTCGACGAACACAATTCGATCGTCTACACTCGCAAGTAATTTAGTATTTAAAACCAAACATCATTGTCATCGATCATCGATCATTTAACCAGCGATTTATTTCATATTTATAAAAAAAAGCGATTTTTGTTTCAGTTTTCAATCACATGTTGTGTTCAAGTGCTTAAGAAATTTTGTTAGAGAAAAGAATGAAAAAACACTTTGTTGACACTTTCGCAAAAAGTGAGTGATGTGCAAATTCAATTCAGAGAGATAACAACAAAAAAAAAAGATTAAAAGCAAACGTTTGCTATCAACTGATATTTTAAAGAGACTTTGTTTATCACTGTAAATGTATGGCATAATCTTACACTGAGTGAATGAGTTTAAGGACCTTTTCGGTTCATTCCACTACAATCTGATGTTACATAATACATAACACAACAGAACATTACAACAGCTCAAGAGCATACACAGCACGAGACTTATCCACATCGGCGATGTAGCAGCGAAAAAAAACATAACTTGTGCTGCAAATGTGAATAAAAAAGGAAAGAGATAAAGAATATGCAGAAAAAACAAGAACATAATACGAAAAAAAATAATACACACAAACATACTCACTTGATCGTTTTGATTCTCAGTTGCTTCTTGATATATCCGAGGGAAACGTAGTTTCAATTTCGATTGAACATTAAAAATTGCTTTTAATTGTTGTGCGCGTGTTGTGAGCAGTGACCGTGCATATACAAATACCAAAGTGTAATCATTTTTAGCCGGGACGGTATATCAAAATCAGCCAACACTCTTTAATTTATCATTGCAGAACACTTTTTTGGCAGTGGATTTATCATAATCTGGTTGCATTTCAAGTTGCAAAACCAAATGTGAAAGAGTGTATGCAATAAATGAAGATTCAACTCAGAAACCAATTTACGGACCAAACGAACTGATTTTTAACGGCTATGCACGTAAAAAGTTTAACATTAAAACTAAATCAAAGAGCAATAACATTATAAAAGTTAAGAAAAGACGAGAGAAAAAAAGATAGAAATACCAATAAGACTGTTTTTACCAATCAGCTAACTCACCAAATAAGAAGAAAAAAAAACAAGAGAAAAATGCACGAAAGGGGCGCGATTTAATGCTGTATGAACAAAAAAGAAGAAAATCAGTTAAGAATACAAATAATTGTTTGATTGTGATTTTTTTTATGTGCATTTGTGATTCACAAATTTGACTGCCGCTTTGACTGACAGTGATCACATATTCATGCTAATTAGATAATATGATCTTTTTTATAAATATATAAATTCAACGGACACATTTCAATCCAACGAAAACAAAAACGACACGTTCGCCGAATCGTCTTCACAAAGGAAAAGAACATTGGCCAAAATAATTCGGTTTTGTTTTTCTCTGATTTCACTGATTTTTTCGGCTTAGTGGTCATTGGCCGTTTGTCATCCATCACTAGAATTTCACGAATTATGGTGATAAATGTGTGAATAACAACACTCGTAATATTTAATATATATATAGATTTTGTTGACATCGAAATATTGCCAAAAGAAACAACAACAAACATACTGAAACATTAATTTATACGATGGAAGCGAGATCTAGCTAAAGGAATAATTGGATTAAAATTATTTATTTTATACGCATCTCGAATTCATCTCATCATTTTTTTATTTCGACTGAAGCAGTCCATTCATTTACATGGTAAGTGACTTACTGATAAGAAATTTTATATTGAATTTGAATATAATATAGATAACTGATATCAATCACAATATAATTGCGAAAATTATATCCGTTATGAACATCAAGAAACTCTTAGTAGCAAACAAAGTTTAAATGATATGCAATGATTATTCCATTAAGAGTTGCATTCAGGCCAGGCCGTACAATGCAATTGCATCAAGTTTTGCGTGCAATTCATTGCGACTCCTTTTATATACGATCAAGTGTAAGCAGAGTTCGTGTTTCTACGTATTTCATTTTATGTTTATTTTTCTTCCCTCCATCACCGGTAGTTATGCGCATTCACACTATTTCTTGTGTCGGTCGGCTAAATTTTTTTTAGTCAACTGGTGAGCTCACGTAATGATTTGTAATGCTTTGACGCACATTTATTTAAAAATTGTTGTACTTCGTGTTTCAGATGGTTTCGTTCTTTAGCTCAACTTTATCTTGAATTCTATTTGAATGAAACAAAACAAAATGTACACATTTGAATCTGTATAATGTGCATTTTTCAAAGCCAAATTCAGTGATTGAGATGCAGTGAAATGAATAACATTTCAAATCGACAAACAACTTTACTGAAACGCCAAGCCCATTGTAATATCTGTTAAGCAAACAAAAGCTCTCGGCGAAACGGTAGACTGAAATTGAAAATTACGACCGAACCGGTAATACATACTATTAAGTTAAATGCCAAAAACAGTTTCATTTTCAATTTAATTTTAAAAACAAAATTCATTTTTTCCAACATCACTTTTTGCTTAGACCGTTTTTTTAAAAACTTTTTGACGCCAATTAATTTGATAATCAAAATCCGAATGGGACAGGAAATATGATTACAACTCATGCACATCGACGGATGTCATATATGTTTGTCGTTCGTTGTCATTTCGCTATTGAGATGTAAAAGCGGTGCGTGCGCGCCCACTTTTCTAAAAAAATATCAAATGTTTTGGCGCACATTGTTGCCGTTGTGTATACGTTGCTACGACGCAGCTTAAGCGAATAACATTTTCTTTGAGAAATATTTGTTTTTCTTTGGTTATCTACCTCAACTTCATGTCCATTTTATGTTTATTCCTTGGATGTTATCGTTAGCGTGCTGACGATGAGCTGTTGCGTTATTATTATTATATATTCTTTTTTTTTCTTCGTTGTCTCTTCATTTTGTCTATTTTCTATGGTTCTCGCGATGTTCTTTTCTATCTTAAGTTACGATTGGCTTAAGCCTTGAATGACAATTACGATGGAAAATTGAGTGCAAAACTGGATTCAAATATTGAATTAATGTCGTATGTCGGTTTGCAAGACTTTAAAATGAAAAAAATATGAAAAGAAAGAGAAAAGTTTGTTTTGGATTATTTCTAACAGAATTGAAGCACTAAGAACAGGTATTTAATAATAAACTGTTAGATGATGAACTTCCTATATTATCAATACCAATCTAATTTGAGTGGTTTTAAAACATTTGAAAGCACTGTATACGTTAGCAGCGTCCACCTAATTTATGTTGTATCCGTGAAAAAGATAGAAATTCTATGGCGCTGAAGACGAAATCAAAATGCAGTGATTTGGAAGAGTTTTGCTTTTAAACACATAACGTTGTGCATTCATTCTAACCGATTCATTGTCAAGCTTGAGCAGAACCGGCAACAAATTTGCAAAATATATGCTCATTTATAAATGAAGGAAAAAAATCACCTGGTTAGATCAATTGGTATTGCGTATATGAATTGGCTCAATAACGATAACAAACTAGAAGTGCGGAGATGTTTTGTATGGTTGTATGATGCGCACATAGTTTGATGCAACAAACAACTACAAATACACGTATGCACAAGTGGAAAACAGTTAAATTTAATTGCATGAATAAATTCAATAGGAAACTATAGCTATAGAACATAATATATTATGATATTTTGTTCGCAGATAGATTCTTATTTAAATGAAAAAAAAAATAATAATTGCCAAATGAACAAACGCTCAAATATATTGATCTAATGTTGCGAGTAAAATATGAGCTGCAATTTCGTGATGAAAAATTCCAATTCACATCAGTCGATTTAGAAATTAAATATCTGTGGAGAAAAAAATGAGTTCGCTCAAATCCGGTGTGCGCAAGAACGATTGTGAGAGAAGTGACTAGCGAATGCGTGTGTCTTTTCTAGTTGAATGTCACTCAATTTCAATGCGCATATTCATTGATCATTGAACTCTGGAAATATTTCGAATTTTATTCGAAAATTAGAATTAATTTGACGAATGAACTCTGAATGACCGCATACCAAATACCATTGATGTTTGCTAATTTTTCTTTTCTATTCTTCTTCTTTTCGGTTTTTTTTTTGCCATTATTCTGAGGTGGGCATAATAATAAAAAATTATATTATTTTCAACGCACCATAATATAAAATTGAATATTCTGAAGAGATCATCATAATGCCGAATTGGCCCATCACTGTGTTTCTAACATGTATTTGCCTATTTAAGATTTGTTCATCTATGTAGATAGAAGTTTAAAACTTTCGGTGGATTTGAAAGAAAGAATTAGAAAAAAAGCGAAACCGAAAATAGAAAACATGAAAGTCAATGACATCTAATATGTCGAGAAGTTCCAATCGTATTAATCGTTCTTTCTATTTTTTTTCTCTCTCTCTCTTTCTTGCTCCTCGTGTTTAAAGTACCCGTGCCACTACCTAAGGCAAACGATAAAGACCAACCGAAAAAAATGTATTACTTGAAATGAAATAGGAAGAACCATGCCATCGAAGTGTATGATTTTGAGTTTGTGTTGGTCTACTGCGGTATTCTTGAACACAACATCTCGAAACAAAGTAATGATTCGCTATATAAATCTAGTTCTATTCATTCTGTCTATTTTGCTTCTTTGTTGTTGTGTTTGGTGTTCTGTTGTTGTTGCTCTTCTTACTTGCCGTTTCTCGCTTGATATGCGCGGTCGCATAGACAACACACACACAAGCTCAGATGTATACACATCCGACGAGCACACAAAGCAACAGGTAACATTGATGTGCCTATTTCTATCTATTTCTGTTAGAACATCATTCGGTGTTAGACGAAATGATGAAGCTAAAATCACCAAAGATCGTCGAACTTTCGGCTTGGTGCTAAAGCACGTATTAATAAAACTCCAAACGCTACAGTCATAAATTATAGATTAGAACATCATTCGAAACAAAATGTAAAAAGAAGAAGAACATTTTTTTGTGTTGAGCATATTCAACTTTGTAGTGTGTACGTATTCATTGAGCGTGCGAACCTATTTGGAAATATGATGAGGACATACATTAAATGGGCATCAAACTTCTTCAACAATGATGATACGGAATCGCACGGAATCAAATGATGTGTTGTGTTCCTCCAGATCCAATCCACAAGAACAAAAGCGACCAACGACGCTCCATCCGAAAATTAAAAGGCACCATTTTGAACGTGGCAAATGGTTTTCTCAAATATATGCATATTCATTATTGACATACTATTACCGGTCGCTCGTGACTTAACACATTTTATTTTCGGCAAATATTTTAACAATTTTTATTTGCACATATTCAAGTCAGTGTCCACCATTTGGTGAATGAACGAACAAACATTCGGATAATAGCGCCTTTTTTATGCATAAGTAACATCGCCCACTTGCCGAGTGTGTGTATGTGCTCCCATCACAATTGATGGGAAAAAGACCGGGACCAAAAGAGAATCTAAAACACCGGAAAAAAGTAAACAAAACAGCAATTGTATTGGTCTGACTTTTATTTTCTATTTCAAATTCAACATATTTTCATCGATTTTATTCGGATTTTGTTCACAAAACTTTCAAATACACATTCCCATAACAATTGCCCCATCATACATGATTTGTAATGCTATCATAACGATACACGGAGCTAGAGAGAAGGAATGGAGGGAGCAAAAAAAAACGCAAGTGTTAACACGCCCGCTCACCTTGAACTGTAACAACACTTACCATGCGTCATCTAATTGATAATGAATAATTTCGGTGCGTAATTTCAATCTTTATTTTTTACTGCTCGTGTCAAGCAACAAACAAGAGATGCCAATCGTGTTTGTGTGTATCGATTGGTGTAGAAAAATTGAACCGAACTACCTATACAGAGGTAACCAGTTAAAGTTTTGCGAAAAGTTTTTTTATCGGCGCTTGAACGACGTCTCTCTGATCAATGTGCGGCGTTAGAATGAAATTGATCAAATGATGTAATCAATACGCGAACATCAACTCAATAAAAACATACAGCGAACAGAATGAGAGAGAAGAAAACTTGTTTTAAATTTCGTTATTGTTTGAACGTTGTTTCCAATGTCAATGACATTTCTCATCGTTTTTTTTTTTATTTTTTCAAATTTATCTCATATACAATTATAAGAGAGTGCATGAACCGTAACGTGCACAGCGCATATGATGACCAACGTGAGAGCTAGTGAGTTCGATGTGGTCATTTGTGTGTTAATAAAAATTATGTTTAAAAAAAGAAAGAAATAATTGTTATTTTTATCTATGACGTTAATGAAACATTTTTCGGGCAATTTTCGCTCTAATAAATCCACTTGTACATACGAGTAAATTTTAACAAATCGTTCAGTAGTATAAATTAAATTACCTGGGTACTACATTCGCAATATCACATTTTTATGATTTTAGTTTCAATTAGTCTTTTTTTTTGCGAATTGTTTGATCGATTCGTACTATGTTTTTCTAGCTAGTTTTAAGGAATAAGATTAAGAAAAGTATAGAAAACATGTACTAGTGTTTCAGGTGATAAAAATATTATGCCGATTCATGATATTTGTTATTGAATTATATATATAACAAAAAATTTGCAACCAGTAAATTTGAGTGTTAAACTCATCAATCACTTTATAATGAAATGAATATATTTTTTGTCTCCTTTTGTGAAACACGAAACAAAAACTTATTCGATGAAAGGCCAAAAAAA